TGCTGAAGTTTTCCACTTCCTTCTTTTCATGTCTTTGCAATTGAGCACTTTTATGAAGCAATTATTCAGCAAGCTTGTAGTTTCAGTTTAATTCTAAATACACTCAGTGCCCCCAAATGCTTGCTTCTCAGTTAAATTTACAGTTTTCAGATTTAATATTGTAGAAATCTTTGTGTAACCCATTACCTGTAATATCAGCAATATATGCTAAAAAACTTTTTTTGAAGTCCAAAAAATTTTTTTGAAGAAGTCAGCACCTGATTTTGTCAATCATAATTCTTATTCTTTTGTTAAATTAAGGGCCATCTAAAGCTCCATAAATAGCCTTTCTACTGAAACTTCTCTGCATTTTCTCAGTAGCATTGTCACCTGCTGTTCTAAACAGAGGCTTGAGAGGCATAGCAATTTATTTCTATTCATTGTGATTACTGTTATTACATACTTTTTATTCTGTCAGTGCTTAAATACCCAGAAGCGTATGTTTTTGATGTTTGTGATCTTTAATTCTGTAATTATTTATCTTTGACCTTTAAAAATTATTGCTGTTACTACAACTACCAGGAATTCAGTGGAATAACATGTACCAGCCAATGGTGAAAGGAGGATACATGACCTTTGGATGTACCTGCTGGATAATGTTCTTCGACTCCATTTTGTATTCTGTAGGTGGCTGGTATTTCAGCAATATTATTGTAGGTAAGAATTCTTTTGATATTTTTGTAGCGTCTATAGGTGCAATAACTGAATTGAATTGATGGAGATGGCTATCTTCATTGTGCACAACTAAAACAAAACCATGTATTTTTTCCAAGTAAGGCTTTTATGAGCCAAAACAGCCCAATTGCACTTAGGAACTGGTAAGAAAGACTTTTTTCTCAATAAGTATTGAATAGTACTGAAAAAAAAAAAAAAAAAAAAAAAAAAAAAAAAAAAAAAAAAGACTAGATTGTGTAGCCAACTGTGTAATCAGCCTTGTTTATAATTGTGACAAATATAGGATCATGGAGTTATTAAGGTTGGAAAAGACCTTTAAGATGACCTAACCGTCCAGCTACCACCAATATTGCCCACTAAAACGTGTCCCTAACCACTAAGTCTACTTGTTTCTTAAATACCTCCAGGGATGGTGACTCCTCTACCTCCTTGGGCAACCTGTTCTCACCACTCTTTCTGAGAAAAATTTCTTCCTAATAACAACCTGATGATTTGTAGAATCATAGAATTGTTTGAGTTGGAAGGGACCTTAAAGACCATCTAGTTTAAACCTCTCTGCTGTGGAGACAGAGTTGCCACCTACTGTATCAGATTGCTCAGGGTCCTATCCAAACTGGCTTTGAAAGCCATGGAACGTCCACAGCTTTTCTTCTCTAGTCTGAACAACCACAGCTCTCTCAGCATTTCTTCTTAGCAGAGGTATTCCAGCCCTGTAATGCCTTGCTGAATGTTTAAAGTTTCTTTCCTCTGATATGCATGTGTCAGATTTTCTCCTAGATACTCTGTATTTGTTAGGTGAAAAGGAAACATTGATCTTGATAGACAGATGTGTGTGGAATGTACACTCAAATGTTACAAATTTTAACTTAAATCGATACCTGCTATTCAGTATCAATGAAATGCAACTCCAGAGAGTGTGTTACGCAATTGTTATGCTGAACTTGCAAGGACCGGCTAATGTCAAAGCTTGATTTGTGTGAAAGGCCATGCTTTTGACTGTTCTGTTTGAGTAAATAAATGTCTTTTATCTTGTCTAATTTGCTTAAGTTATGCATGTAATGATGAAAAGATAATGATTGGTGCAAGGGATTATCGTAAAACTGTTTACAATAGCAGGCAGTTTGCTGTACTTTCCTTTCTTTCTAAAATATAAGATCAACTGATTGTGTCTACATATTGCAAATCGCCTAATTCTCACTCACCTTAGACCTGGTTTGGAGATGGTGTAATGTGCAGAATTTCTGAGATGTCATAATTTTATGGCAGAATTGGGTATTATGGCCCAAGTGACTTTTTTCCCACTTTGTTGAGATTTGTTAAATTCATCTAAGAGTTACTTAAATGCTATAGCAAGCTCTTTTTAATGATAGAATATTACTAGCCCATATACAAATGCAAAAACAAAACAAAACAAAAACAAACAAACAAAGAATTTTGCAACTCATTCTTTTTTACTATTTCATGTAGGAAAAAATGGACTAAGGAACTGTTGGTACTTTCCTTTTACTGTTTCCTATTGGAAGAACCTATGTGGTTTACAGCAGATGAGAAAACATTATCTGAATTCTAACATGTTTTTCTTCAGTGAAAACTTCAAAGAGAAAGGTTTGTAGTCATGACAGAATTTTAGTAAATACTCTCCTGAATTGTTTATTGATTTTGATCAATGTGCATTTGTATTGCTTGGTTCTATACCTTACACTTTTAGAACTTATACCTTTCTCTTTTCCATTACATACTATATACTATGAACAATATATACTGTTAATTGTGCTATCACATATAATACTTTAATGATTCAATTAAAACCATTAAATACAAATGCTTATGAAAACTCTTCAAGAATATGTAAAATAAGTATCTCTAAGATTCATCTTGTCTCTGTATTGCCTTTTTGTTTCGTTAGGACAACTTGAGGTTCTTTATACCTTTTTATACTGTTACTGAATCTGAAGAGTCTTTTGCTTTATTAATTTTCTTCCTGCAGCAGAATTTTCTTCCACTTCTACTCCTCCCTCCTTACGGAAAGAACATAACTTTCACTTTTTTCCCTTTCTGATTTTCCTCTTCTATTACCACTCCTTTTTCTGTCTGTTTCTTAGCTTTCTTTTTAAGAAGATACTATTGTAATTATATTTTTATTTGCCTTCAAATAATAATAGCATCTTTTAACATCAAAAATAAACATCTCTGTTCTTCTACTTTGTATTGGGTTACTTAAAATTTAGATCTCTTTGACTTTCTCACGTTTCATTTACTATGAGTGAAGGAGTAAGTCACCTTCCCCCTCCTATATTCCCTATTAGAACAGCATGATGAATTGTCATTTTTGTTTCAGAAGTTGCAGTAGCTTGGAAAAGATCCAGTTTATTGTAGTATATATGAAAAAGCTGAATTATTCAACAGTTTTATGTTCTGGTCTTTCCTAAAACAGTGTAAATTTCAGAAAGTCTTGAGATTCTTTCAAGTATTTGTGGATGAACCACTCTGAATTGTGCCAGAATAGCTGCAATTTGGAACAATTTCATTTTATTGAGATATGATAGTCTTTGAAACTTAAAATGAAGACTTTCAGTGTTTACTGTTGGATTTTCCCCACCCACTGTGTAAAGAGGAAAAACTAGTAACTTGTGAAGTTACTAGTATAGAGCTGATCTTTGACTCAAGCCACCCAGGTTATTGCATACAGCTTTGTCAATCTGTTAGTCTCACTTCCACACTCTTATACATGATGCATGCCTGTAACCTAAACTGCCCGTATGTAAATTCTAATGCTGCCATGCATGCAAATAAATGTGCTCCATTTCATGAGAAATGAGCTTTATTGTACTGATAATGGGATAAGTGCGTTCCTGGATAACTAGATTTCAATAGCAAAATGGAAGACAAGCTTCCCATCATTGATTCTGACATTTGTTCCACAGAGCACAGTTAAGAGCCAGTTCAGGGGCAGTGGAAAGTGCCAGAGTGTGGATCTGATTTTAAGAGATGAGCTGACAGAGGACTGGTTGTTGGGTATGCACCTGGAATTTCTTCTTTCAGGATACATCCTAGGGTGATCATTACAATGTTTGCAAATAGTAGGGAACTATTCCTCTGAAGCTTGCCCAAGATGCATTGTCTGAGGCTGAATCTTCACCTAACTCACCTGTTGAGTTCCAGAATGTGCTTGCAAATTTAGAATGCAGTAAAAAGGGTGATGATGTATATGTATACACCTATACTTGACAGATGTAGTCTCCTGACCAAGAAGATGGAGAAGCTGAGTGGAATAGAAAAACCTCAGTAATGTCACAGTAATACCTTGCTAGTAGGTAGCCTCGTGTTTCTGGCAAAAGTTCTGCATGGAGTTATGAATGATTGTGGAAGGAGAAAAAAGCTCTTCATTCACAGTCTATTCAAATCAATTCTTGAAATCGTAAACTCAGTTTATAGATATGAATATCACACAGATATATATACATATGTCATGCATAAATCTTTATTCCCATAATTCTCTTCCAGAACAAGTTCAGTTTCTTTAGACTAATGTTACACTTGGCTTTGTTTAAAAGAAAAATATTACTGTCAGATTCCTCATTTGCAGTTTGTCAGTAAAACATTACATGTTAATAATAGGTGTATGGGGCTTGTGACTGACTGGTTATGTTTGGAAATTAGAGACACTTGTGCCAAACTTTCCTTCTAGTATATGAAGCCAACTTGGGTCATGTAGTCAGTATAATTTGCTGAACCTGGTTATGCCATGGTTAGAACAGTGCCGAGTATCTACCTGAATTATATTTAAATTAATCAAATCATTTCATAGTATCACTGACTTACAGAGGTTGGAAGGGACCCCTGGAGATCATCCAGTCCAACCTCCTTGCTAAGCAGCTTCCCCTCAGTTAAGTTACACAGGAAACTGTCCAGGGGGTTCTCAAATATCTCCAGAGAAGGAGACTTTGCAACTTCTCAGGGTAGATTGTTCCAGGGCAATGTCACTCTCACAGTAAGGAAGTTTTTTCACATGTTCATTTCAAACTTCCTGTCTTCCAGTTTCTGCCCACTGGCTCTTGTTCTGTCACTGGGCACCACTGAAAAGAACCTACCTCCATCATCTTGACTCCCACACATTAGGTATTTATTAGCACTGATAAGATCCCCTCTCAATCTTATCCAGGCTGAATAGACTCAGATCTCTCAGCCTTTCCTCATAACAAAGATGCTTCAGGCCCCTCATCATCCTCGTGGCTCTCCACTGGACTCTCTAGAAGTTCTTTCTCGAGGTGAAGAGCCCAGAAGTGGATACAGTGCTGCTCAAAGAGAGCTGCTTTGCTTTACTGAGTGAGAAAATTAATAGGATTAATTGGCCATGCCTGTTAATGCTATGTTAATGTTATATGCCTGAAACTGATTGACATATGAACAACACAGAAATTTCATATACTTATGAACATAAAGTAATGATTTTTTTTTTTTCTACCAGAAGTAAAATATAATACAGCTTTGTTATGACAAGTTTAGGCATTCACTCAGCCTGGTGTAATTCTGCTAGGCTGCTTCTTAAAACTGCAAATTGGCCAAAATGTTAGCAAATATTAGCTGGTACAGGGTCTCTCATTTCAGTTAAGCTTATGTGAGTTCAGAGCATCTGAACATCTTTCAGGTTTTTGGTAAATGGCAACAAGGTTTTAGTTGTTATTCCCTTTGTATATGTGTTGAGATTTGAAGATCCTCTTGGTCTTCTGCTCTTCCCTTTACAGACTTAGCCCCTCCAGGCTGGAAAGGCACTTGCACAGAAGGAGCCACCATTGGTGTTGTATTGCTGTCTCTCACCAAAGAACACGTGGATAGCCATAAGGCTGCTGTTAAAGACCTCAGCCTCACCTTCCATAAAGGCCAAATAACAGCACTCTTGGGACCTAATGGAGCTGGCAAAACAACAGTTATGTAAGTTTGCCAGTTAATGGTGCTATGCTCCCTTCTGGTCTCTGCTATGCTTTCTTACTTCAAAACATTTGTTATCTCTTTCCTGCATTTATTTTTGTTTATGCTATTTTTAAAATAAATATTATCCTTCAATTTTTAAACTCCTCGTAACATGTGAAATGTGAAGGCAATATGTCTATGACAGAAGCAATGCAATGAATTATGTTCTCTGTGCCACTGACACCATGATGAAATTGGTCACTAGCATGCTTGGGCGTGCTTGGTTGTGGAGATGAGCACCTCTCATGAAAGTGTTCTTTTCTGGCATTCTGCCATTCTGGTACTCCAGTCACACAGAGTATGTGGAGCCTTAAGGGTTTTTATGTCTTGCTTCTAGTTGTTGCAGGAGGCTTCCTGACCAGAGACTGAAATAAAATGAAAAATATCTGAATTAAGAAGTATGTGTATTTCTAATTTTTTGATAATTCTGATCAACTTAAATAAAACCAGTGATGTAGAACAGGGAATCCATTAGAAATTAGTCCTCAATGAGAATATACATGTGGAAAAAAGAAATGATGGACTGTTAAATTTGGCTGGGAAAAGTGACTCTGGAATTGAGGGAGTGAAGGGTTGTTGAGATCTTGAAGGGGAAAAAAAAAAAAGAGCCAAAAGCATTAGCAGTGTTCCTCTAATTGTTAAATTGCACTGATGTTGCTGCACTGATGTTAAGATGTGCCTCAGGAAATCATAGAATCATAGAATGGTTTGGTTTGGAAGGAATCTTTAAGATCATCTAGTTCCAACTCCTATAAGCAGGGATACCTCCCTCTAGACTGGGGTGCTCAAAGCCCCATCCAGCCTGGCCATGAATGCTTTCAGGGAGGGGGCATTCATAACCACCATGGGCAATGCGTTCTTGTGTCTCACCACCCTTCTAGTAAAGATTTTCTTCCTGATATCTAGTCTAAATCTACCCTCTCACAGTTTAAAGCCATTTCCCCTTCTCTTGTCTGTTTGCCCTTATACAAAGTTCCTCCCCAGCTTTCCTTTAGGCCACTGACAGTTACTGAAAGCCTGCTATAATGCTCTTCCCAGAGCCTTCTCTTCTCCAAACTGAAGAGCCTCAGCTCTCTCAATCTGTCCTCATGGGGGAGGTGCTCCAGCCCCCTGAAAATCTTTGTGGCCTTCCTCTGGACCTGCTCCAACAGCTTCGTGTCACTCATGTACTGGGGGCACCAGAACTGGATGGAGTACTCTACGTAGGGTCTCATGAGAGCAGAGTAGGTGGGCAGAATCACCTCCCTTGATCACACTTCTTGTGATGCAACCCAGGATATGGTTGGCCTTCTGGGCTGCAGGTGCACAATGCTGGCTCATGTTGAATCTCTTGAGAGTCAATACTCCCTTTTTGCTCAGGGCTGCTCTCAAGCCGTTCTCCACCCAACCTGTATCTGTGCTTGAGATTGCCCTGACCCACATGCAGGAACTTGCTCTTGGCCTTGTTGAACTTCATGAGGTTGTCATGGGCCCACCTCTCAAGCCTGTCCAGGTTCCTCTGGGATGGCATCCCTTCCCCCTAGTATGTCAACTGCACCACTCAGCTTGGTGTCATCTACCAGCTTGCTGAGGGTGCACTTGATTCCACTGTCCGCGTTACCTACAAAAATGTTCAGTAACACTGGTCCCAGTACTGATTCCTGAAGAATGCCACTTGTGACTGGTCTTCACTTGGGCACTGAGCCGCTGACCACAACTCGGAGTGTGACTGTCCAGCCAATTCCTTATCCAGCAAGGGGTCCATCCATCAAATCCATTTTTCACCAATTTGATGACCAGGATGTCATGTGGGACAGTGCCAAATGCTTTGCACAAGTCCACATAGATGACATCAGTTGCTCTTCTTTTATCCACTTTTACCAACAGTGCTTTACCTCCTTCATAAAAGGCCACCAAGTTTGTGAGGCATGACTTACCCTTGGCAAAGTCATGTTGGTTACCACCAGTCACATCATCTTTATTTCCGTGTGCCTTAGTAGGGCCTTCAGGAAGATCTGCTCCATGATCAGGAACAGAGGTGAGACTTACTGGCCTGTAGTTCCCTGGATCTTCTTTTTTTCTCCTTCTTAAATATGGGAGTTATGTTTCCCCTTTTCCAGTCACTGGAAACTTCACGAGACTGCCATGACCTTTCAAATATGATTGATATTGTCTTGGCAGCTTCATCTACCAGTTCCTTTAGAACCCATGGATGGATCTCACTGAGTCCCATGGACTTGTATCCAAGTGTGAGATATACTTATATGCTGATTTTCTTTCCTTTTCTTGCACCAGATCATTGTTGACTGGTCTGTACCCACCGAGCTCTGGTACCATTCTTATCAATGGAAAGGACATACGAACTGACCTGGCTGCCATCAGGACAGAGCTGGGTGTTTGCCCACAGTATGATGTTCTGTTCAACATGCTAACAGTACGAGAGCATCTGCTCCTTTATGGATCAGTGAAGGCACCTGGCTGGACAAATGAACAGTTGAATCAGCAAGTCAGTGGGTAAGAATTCTTTCCTTTGTTGTCAAGTAAATCAGTCATCTATTGCAAAACACTTAAGCAGAAGTGCTAAAGCAAAATTGGAAAAAGAAGTAACTGGAAACTGCAAGATTGATTTCCATGAGTTTTTCTCACACTTTGCATTCTGAAATTGATTTTCTAGTTTCTAGCCTTTACTTGCATGTATTTGTAGTGAAACTGTCAATGTTTAAAAATCTGGTACCCTGAACTATCAAATGATCATGTTTTGATTGGAGCGGAGATAGTTAGCCTGGTAGCAGCTGTAGTGGTTTCTACCTCATGCTGTCTGCCTTACCTTCTTACTGTTGCTGGATAGGCAGATGGAAGCTAAACTGATGTTTTCACCCTGAGATTTCACTTAAGTATACATTGACTTCATTATTTTTTATTCCTCTTACATTTCTCTGAAAATTAGTAACAAAATGTATACTCTTTTAATAGTGTGCCATTGTAAATATTGCTTACCTTGTGATGCCTGCTAGCCTTTGGGTAGGGCTGGGCATTTCTACATGTCAGTGGAAATGCCACACTGATGGAATTTTTCTTGAGACTACAATTAAGCATATGCAGATTGATTTGAGGCAAAGTGGCTTTCCTTTTTAGTAGCTATTATAAAATCCCGTTAGTTTAAAATTTTGATCTGAAAATCCTCTGGCAAGAGACACTGCAACCTCTCTAGAAACAAAATAAATGATTCTCCAAAATAGCAAGGGAAAACCAAACATAGTGCTTAGTTAAAATTTATACAAATATACAAATTTATTTTATTGTACTTAGTCTGCTGATCTGTAATTTCAGCAGCAGCCTGTCATAGCAATGGCACATAAGCATGCTCAGGTCCCTGCAGGCTTTGTCACTTAGATAAAAAATAATAAGACTATAAATAGCATAAAATATTTCATATGATAATAGGAAAAAAAGAAAAAAAAGTTTTTCATTAAAGAAATAAAAAGAAGGCAGCTTTTAAAGAGATTAACAATCATCAGTTTCCTGGATACATATCTCTAAAGCAACTACAGAAAAAAAAAAAATTAATCTGCATGTTCACCCAAATGATTCAGGAGATTACTTTAGGACCATTAAGCCTTTTATATCTTGTTTGCCAAGCTGAAAGTAACTGAAAGCTTTTTGGTCAATGACCAGACATTCAGTCTGATGAAAAGTAAGTTAGCTGTCTTCAGTGCTGACTTATTGGGTGCATGCCCACACCCTGCTCAACTGCGGAACAGTTGAAGGGCCGCACAGTGTGTGTGTAAGGCACTCCCCAGTCCTTCATACAAGAACCTCTAAGCAGCTTCAAGTAGGTTACCTGATCTTCTACCTGGATATTGTTAATCTGTTTACTTCAAAGAAGCATTTCTTAAATAACAACAACAACAGCAATAATAATAATAAAGCAGTGTTACAAGAAGTAGTGTTACCCTATCGTTTACTTCAAATGTTCAGATGACTGCAGGCGTTTTTAATGTTGATTACAAGTTGCAAAAACTGAAGCACTGTTTGAGTTGTGAAACTAACAATCTTTGCTCACGGTTTAAGGGCCTATAATCTAGAGTTTGCTTAAATCAATAAGCAAACTAGTATATATTCTGTTGAATTTAATTTCAAAATTATTCTTATCCTGCCCTGCACTGTTACAGAATAATTCAGCAGTGACAGGTATTATTGTTCATAGGTAGAAAATAAAGCTCTCTGTTTTCTATTAATTTTTGTCACCAAAATCTAAAATCAGTCAGAGGTATGTTTTGTTACTTTTCCTTCACAATCTTCTTGATCATTCTGTAGTGAATGGATGTGAGATGACCTGAAAGCTTTTCCAAACTTGGTCAAGCATCTATATTCCTTTTTCAGAGCTCTGGAAGATGTGGATTTATCCCAACACCAGTACAAACCTGTTGGAGCCCTTTCTGGGGGAATGAAAAGGAGGCTGTCAATTGCCATTGCCTTTATTGGAAACTCAAGGACTGTTGTTTTAGATGAGCCCACCAGTGGAGTAGATCCATGTTCCCGCCGTAGCATTTGGGATGTTATACTGAAGTGCAAAGCTGGTACGAAGTTTAGATGCATTATTTGTTCCTTATTTTCCATTCTGAAATTCTGTTTCAATAAATTTAAACACGAAAGTTTGAATATTAGTAATGCTATTTGGTAACTAAATACATTAATTTCAGAACTAACATTTAATCAATTCAGGAAACTTTAAAGCAGCCAAGTGAGACAACAAGAATTACCTCTTAACTCACAGAAATATGTCTAATCCGATAGGTTCATTTTAGTTTTGTGGACCTTTCCTAGCATTTCTATTGTCTTTTGTTTGTTTGTTTGCTTCTCAAAGCCTTCTTTTTCCTGGATTTTATTTCCCATTTTGTACGTATCTATATGTATAGTGACGATTTTCTAATGATGATAGACTCATCAGTCAGTCTGCAACATTAACTTTTTAAGTGCCTTGAGGTGAAAAATGGACTGTGGGGAGTCAAACTTTTCAGCAAGTGAACACTCAATTAGCTGTAATAAACCACAGTGAATAATCCAACAGACACTGCTGTTGTGTGGTTTTAAAAAGTTAAGTTCTTATAGAGTGGCTTGAACTTATGTCAAGTCATTACATATAATAAAAGGAAAGATCGCTTAGACCTGAGTCTAGAGTGCCTACTGAATGTAAATCTTGAATAGAGGTTTTGTTTGTGTCTTGGGTTATGTTTTGAAGGGACCTGAAACACATTCTCTCAAGGTTAGAGTATCTTCCCGAAAGGCAGATTTATTTCTGTGGGAGCAAGGATTTGTAGATGTACTAATCTTTCTGACACAGGTTGCACACTGATCTTTACTACTCACCATCTTGATGAGGCAGAGGTGCTCAGTGATCGCATTGCCATTCTGCAACAGGGACAACTGAGGTGCTACGGTTCTCCTTCTTATCTGAGAGAAACATATGGCCAGGGACACAGTCTAACGCTCATAAAAAAGGTATACTGAAAATGTATTGTGCAAAACTTAACAGTGCCTGCCAAGTAATAGTTGGTTATATTCCAAGGTTATTCTAGGCATACTCTTCCCTGCCAGGAAGTAATACATGAGAGAGAGACAGCAAAAAAAGGTTTTAATAATTTTTCTTATTATTTATTATGAGTATTTTACATAGAAGAATACAGGGACATCTCTGAAAATGATGAATTTAAAGATTTAACTGAAATTTCAATGTTCTTTATTCCTGTGAGGTGGTCTTTGTGTCCCAGGTTAGATGATGCAGTTTCGTCAGTGGAGATTTTCATATATGAATTCTACCATCAAGTTCTTTGCTTCTGCTAACTTTTTTTTTTTGTGTGTGTGTGTGTGTGTATGATTGTTTTTTTTTATAGCCCTCTGTGTTTGAAATCCAGGATCCTAAGCATGTTGTCCGGGTCACGTCATTTGTACAGACTCACATTCCAGAAGCTTTCTTGAAAGAGAACAGTGGGACTGAATTAACCTATGGGATTCCGGAAAGGGCAGATAAGACCTCTTTTAACGGTCTTTTCCAGGCTTTAGATCAAAACCTTCACCATTTACATGTGACTGGCTATGGCATTTCTGACACCACCTTGGAAGAGGTATTTCTAGTTTTCTTTGTAATGGCATTCTCATTTTAGAGAATCTTGTGTTTGCTTCTATTTGCCTTTGATTGTATCTGTCATATTTCACAACAGTTTCTTGTGAGAAGCTTGTTTAAAACAAACAAAAAAAAACAAACGGACAAAAAAAAAAAACAACCAAAAATCTATACTTTGTATTTTTGCTGTTACTATTAAAATAAAAGGCCAGTCCAGAACAATGACTTTCGCCAAGAATCTGATGTGAATCCCAAGGAACTGTATAAATCATAAAAAGTTTTCTCTGCATTTAACAAAGGAAAATTTGTGTCTGACTTGATCAAAACTGCTATTGTTGTTCCTAGATGTCTGGCATCTGAATAAACTTTGAGCATGTAAGATTGAAAGTTTGGTTCAGATAGCACTGTGGAGAGGAAAAAGAAATACTTTACAGAAAATACTTTTTGAATTGCAAAGATCTAAATCTTAGGACTTCGCATAATATTGCAGGAAATCTCTAAGGAATATTGTGTGTGTACTGAGGAGAGAGAGAGAGAGAGAGAGAGAGAGATGAGCACTTATGTATACATGCATTTATATGCATATATATATATATATATATATATATATGCACACATATGCACACACTAAACAGAGCAGAGAAGGGGACTCTGCATGCTACTTCATCACTTTGGAATTTAGCTGTGTAACTAGTCATACCAGTGAGAAATTGTGTTCCTTGGATTGTTTCTACCTGGACTATAACTTCTAAACATCAAGATTATAGATCATTTTGAAAATAACACCTTTTTTCTACTTCAGGTGATGATGGGAGACTAATGTCAGTTTTTATGATACAAAGACTACACTACTTTTATTTGATGGTGCAATTCATTCAGCATCACTTTGTGAAACCGATTTCTCCTATGACTACCTTTAATGACTACCTATACCTGTAAAGACAGACAGTGTTGGACAGTATTTCTAACAGAAAAGTGAAAGATACGTTCGTTAAAAACCCCACTCCAATAACAATTTATGAAATACAGATGCCTATGAAGTGTTATCTTTTAATATACAGCAGTAAACTGTATAGAAGTGTCTCATTTCCCTCTGTTTCATGGAAATGTATAAGATGTTATGTAGTGTTGTAGTCAGCTAGAACACGAAGTCCCCCACGTAAAATACTTTTCACAGTTTTATGAAGATGAGGCTTCTGAAGGCCTGTCAGATGCAGTTATGCATTGTATTTTTACTGTGTGTGATATTCGTATGGGAATTAATGGCGTTAGATGTTTGAAAGTGTCAACAGTTCTGAATTTGATGTTAGTAGTTTAGAATCACTGCTCATACACAATCTATGGGGAAAAAAAATAAAGAGAATCTTATTATTGTAAGTAAAATCTCAAATGTCGATTGTTTAAGAAATTAATTGAACAGATTCACCACCAAGTGGAGCTGTTGTACCCTGAAGTGATCCATTGGAATATCTCTTTAGGACTGTGTTCATATACTACAGACTTTTTAGCAGGCTTTATAAGTGTAAACATTTTGTTTTTAAACTGCAGTTCAGAAAACACTATGACAACACATGTATGTTTTATTTTGAAGTGAAGCTCTATATAACTAAGATATTTTATAAAGAGAAATAAAGAGCATCCTTGTTGATTCTCTCACATATGAACGCAGTAGGTTAGCTGAAGTGGCAATGGACGAGGGGGAAAAAAAGAAATATAATACAGGTTTATAAAGCGAAGTCTGTCCCTTCTATGTGTAATTCTATGAGGTGAGTCAAAAACTATTGGAAAACCCTGTAATTTGCTTTCAAATTATATGGGGTGATTAACATGCTGTAAGTAAGAATATTGACTGCCAGCATTTATAGATTTTAAGGCAATGCGTATACTGACAAACTTTTTTGGTACATCCCTGTGTCCCTTTGGGGCATCCTAAGACTTTGCAGAATTTGTAAAGGTGAAGATGTCTCTGGAAGAATTGGAGACTTCTTTAGTTGTGCTTCATCTGCTATTCAGTTGTGAGCTTTCTTCTGCTTGTTTTCTTAGGGAGGGTTAAAATAAAAAGCTTTAAAGATGGTATTTGATATTGGTGTATCATTCTTCAGCTTGAAGACTTAATGCATTAATTTAGGATGATTTCTGCCATCTCTGTATCTCATCATTAGTTGCTACAACCTCCATACTCCATTTTCTTATCAAAAGCCTCTTTGCACTGGCAACTAAATGGATAGCACATAATAGTGCTATTTAGTCTATTCAAACAATTCAATCTGAAAACAAAGCACTCTGACTTTAAAGGAACAAATGTGTTACAGTCTTTATTTTACCCTTTGTTTTCGTTCTCTCATTCACTCACCATTATTCTTCTTAATGTGAGGGATACTTCCTCTTGCTAAAATCTTAGACTTCAAGGGAAACCTATTTGCCATTCGTTCTTCAAAAGAATTTTGAATTTCTAACAAAATAAGTTTCTGACACGTTCAAATCTCTCTAATATTATATTTGTTTCATTTTTTATTTAAAATCTTTTCCAACTCTTTTTGTGTACTTCATAATGTTTATAATCCAAAGATAGGAGAGAAAAGAGGGGGATAGAAGACGGGATACAGGGGGTGCATACTTGAACTATGTATATGCTGAATGCTCTCTGGAGGATGATGATTAACTTGCCAGCAATTCTGAGTTTTCAAAACTAACTCCTTTCTTGATTAGCATTGAGGAGAGTACTAAATCACTGAAACTTTACAAAATAAGATGTGTCAAAATATCTCTTATTGGAATTTCTTTAAATTCACTTTAAATTGAAATAATCAATTGCCTCAAAACTTTCCCAAGAAAGGCCTTGACCTATTTTGGCCTTGAAACAGTATTCAGTTCAGTTTAGTGTGCTCTAACATCTAATAAGAACACAGTTATGTTAATCTATTTCATTGTGGTATTGCCACCTGTTTAGATCTTTTTCCTAGAGGGCAACACATCTTCTACACATGTTCACAACCTGGTGGTTTGAAAGAAGCTGCCTGACTGGTAGCTGCTACTTGCCTCTAATGCTATCCTCCTAAACAGCCAGCATTATCTCTATCCCTAGGAATGGCAGAGATGGTCCTACAGAATCAGGCATGCAGCCAGTTCTCAGGGCCAAGCACTGGAAGTGAGCCAGGCTACTCCTCTCTTATTTTAAAGGAGGAAATTTTATTTCCTGGAAAGCACAAGGTTTTCTGTTGCTCTGAGCTGTCAAATGGCTATCTTCGTCTGTGTATACAAGTTTCACAATCAGGAGTGTTCCTGTTTGGCAGGTGGCTGAGATCAGTGGCCAGACATTGACTCAGGCCACGTTCACCCATAATGAATATCTGTAGGACTGCTTCTGCATCATTCCAGTTAGGGAAACATTGTAGCTCCAGAAGGCTATATTATTCATGAGCCTGGAAGAAAATATGAATATAATGTGAATAGAAAACATAGCGAAAGGAAAATTGGAATTTATTTAAGGTTAGTGTGGATTACAACTGCAGATTAGAAACTTCCAAGGGATACTGGGTACCATTGGTACTGCTCAGGAACTGAGTTGGATGTTAGGGGGAAGTTCTTTACTAGGAGAGTGGTTAGGCCCTGGAATGGGCTGCCCAGGGAGGTTGTGGATGCCCCGTCCTTGGACGTGTTTAAGGCCAGGTTGGACGGGGTCCTGGGCAACCTGATCTGAATGTGTATGTTTGGTGGCCCTGCTAGGCAGGGGGGTTGGAACTACATGATCCTTGGGGTCCCTTCCAACCCGGGTGATTCTGTGATTCTGTGATCTGTGAAGAAAATTAAGCTGAGCTGAATTTTACAAAATGTAATCATTCCTCACATGAAAAATGAGTATTTTCTAAGAAGGAGATTTTCAGGTTTGGGTATTTGAATGTTATCTGTGGTGGTTCCAGTATAGAACAATGTGTATGTAGTATTGTTCTCTGCTCAAAGATGTGTTCATAGGAGTCTGTATAAAGTATTGGGAAGATGTTAAATGCAACTTCCACGTGATCTTAATCTTGTGTGCTTTTTATTTTTTTCCAAGAACTTTCTTCTGTCTTCTGTTATTACTTTTCCTTTTACCCTCACAAATTTGAGCACGCTTTTCCAAGCGTTTTTTTGTAAATAAACTGTAAACAGCAATTAACATTTCCCACTCAAAAATAGCTAAGATACGCACAGGATTTGTAGAATAAAAGAGCAAAAAAACAATGCTAAAATATCAGAGTATAGCATATGTGTCAGCAAAATGCTGTGGGCTGTTTTTTTGTTTGTTTGTTTGTTTGTTTGTTTGTTTTTTTGAGTGTATGGTAAAATGTGATCTTTAAGTGATGTGTGATTACAGACAAACTTTTTCTTCTTTACCCCTGGGAGAAATTTTGATGCTGATCTGACTATGTGCAAGTGACAACCTGTAGATTATTTATTGTCCTAGCCATAGGGCAGTAGCTCTTTGTGGTTTTAGTCTGTACAGTTTGCTTTGGTTTGCTTGATGGATTTGGTGTGCAGATGAGCTGCCTGCAAGCAGGCCCAAAGCAGCAAATTAGAATATGGCTTTGGGCAGCCAGGATCTCCCTGCAGGGTCTAACAGAGAAATGTCAGGAGGTATTTAATTTCTTCTATGCCTGCAATTGCTAGTGGCCAGAAACATTCCCTGAAACTTGACAGGTAACAAATGCAATCAATAATGACAATTAAATGGCAATTACATTGACCACGATAAGCTTAGTTTATAGCAGTCAGCATATATAAACTCAGCAAATCAAGAAATATATTTCCACAACAATGAAATGCTTCAAATTTTTTGTGGGTTGTGTTTTTTTTTTTTTTGTTTTTTTTTCCTATAGCACAAATTCCTTAGAAACGTGGAATTTTTTTTTTGTTGTTTGTTACAGCTGGTATTGAGTTTTTTTGCAGAAAGAAGCAAACAGCTTCTTAATCATTTTGGAAAGTTTTAGCGTAGTTATAATTGGTATCTTGCAGTTCAACTCAAACAGAGCAGAGAAGGATTTCATCAAGAGAAAGTAAATCTTGGTTGTAATTTTGCTGTTTAATTAGAGATGCTAACAGTAGCTGTATTTTCTGTTATTTATTTATTTATTTAATCTGGATTTCCCAGGTCACTGTTTCAATTGCAGTTCAGATTAGGATATTTTTCATTTTATTTTTCATTTGAGTTTACAAAAAGTGGGCTGAGTATTAATAACTAAGTTACCATGAAAGCTGCTCTAGGCTTCATCAAGGCTGAGAAACTGAGAAATGAAATGCATCTCTATAAAATTCAAAGGACTTTATGTGTATTGAACTATGAAACAGGATTAAGCATGCTGTAGGGAGTGTAACACAAATCTGTTTAACAAAGTGCATTTACTAGGTAATAGATCTCATTGTAAAATTGGTGTAATCTGTTCCTTTTAATGTTATCATTGGCTTCTTTATGATGTGTATGTATTTCCCCACTTAAGAAGATCAAACTCTTATTTTTGTCCAGTGAAGATTTTTAGATTGTTATGTTTATTAAAATAAAATAATTTTCGTGTTTCACACAATGTTTTTTTCAGATAACAGGATTTTCATTAGATCAACAGATGAGCATCATCTTCCAATATGGAGTATGCATGCTAGTTGTTTTGCTACAAAACATACATTAAAATTGATTAAAATTAATCTCCTTTTTCATATTCAACGTCAAAGAACATTTATCAGTTGCTGAGTGATAATGGCAGTGGTACAACTAGAACTGATCCAGATCCAGATCCAGAGCAGATCCAGATGTGTCCATGAATTTCCAGCTTGAGTATCAGAAAAGACTTGAAGCTGCCCATATACCCTTGATAAAAACTAAAGGAAACAAGTTCCCATACATGCCACTGTTTAGGAGCATAAAATGTCAAACAAGCATAGCCAGTCTATTGAAAACTCTTATCAGAAAGTTGGTGACTAGGACAACAGCACTTTTTATAGGTGGAGTATATTGGAATTTATTTCTTGCCCCTTATTCTAAGGGATACCTCTTCCAGAGTGTTTGAATAGTTTTATATTCATTCTCCAGCAGAGTGGCCACTACAGCCCCTACTACTGTCTTATAATGGAAAGCTACCTACAGTTTAAAAATGAGTAGTCTATAGAAAATTGAATCTAAATCATTTTTTCTACTCTCTGAAAGGTATTTTTGAAGCTGCTGCAAGACTCGGAGAAGATGCCATTTGTTCCACAAGGAGCATATCCGAACAATGCAAAAGATGGTGAATCAGACTGTAAGTAAAAAATTAAATACTTTCTGAGGCAGAAATCCAAAGATTCAAGCTTGTACCAAGCTTCTAGACTTGAGGGGTGCATAAGCAAATGGAGAACACTGTCTATAACAATCTGGTAGTAGCTTTATAACTATTATGCTTCACCTAAATATCACTTGACAATTTTCTTCCCATCCTTCTAAAATATGTTCACATGCACACACTTTCTCTTACTGCATCAGTGCTCACGTGCTTCTTGCTACCACTCTCTGACAACTAATTACCCTCTTTAACTCACAGTGGATAAATATTTCTGAGGTACACAATGCATATATTATGTGGGATCAGTTAGAAAGATATACTCATTTCCATCTACATTCAAATAATAATAATGAAATTTGTTTCCTCTGGTATTAGAAAGTGCTTTTCCTCTTCTTTGACATGTTGTTTCAGATTCGCTTGCTTATTTTTCAAAGAAACAGTTGCGTTTTTTACATGCCTGCCTGCAAGCACAGGAAGAGCTCCTTATTAACATTTGTGAAAGCCTTAGGAAGCTTGTTCTCCTTAAAAAGTCTTGTTAGAAGTCACCGATGTGATGCCTTGCAAAATGCAGGCCCCAAGGTTGCTAATGTTGCTTGCCAACCAGGCTAACCAGTATTTTCTCACTGTTCCTGATAGTCTTGCCTGTATAATTATCATGTTTCTTTCTACTTGAAGATTTGTGTCTAGATTATAGAATTCTTGGGTTAGGAGTACAGCACTTTATTCTGTATGGAGTATTTTGCCTCGGTTTTTGTAGAACATGGGCACAGCGGCTCCTGGTCCGTGAATATGGATTTTTATTATTCAGGCAATGGAAACAATAATTTTGATCTAATCTATTATTATTTGTTATAATAACTTCAATTGGATCTGCCAATAGTGAATACTCAGTGCCAAGAACTGTGGCCTAAACTGAATCCTTTCCTATCAAAGTGTGAACTTGACTGGATAACGTTTGGGAATGGTCTTTTTATTGGGATATTTCAGTTCCTGTTGAAATAAGGAAAATATAACTATATGGTATAAACAAAACAACAACAACAAAACAACAAAAAACTTCACTAGGAAAAGAAAATTTCCACAGTAAGTGGTGAGAACAAGATTTCTTTTTAAAAGATAGTTTTCAGTAGCTCTTTTTAAAGAAAATAACAGTCAGTTGTGCATTTATTCAAGGCTCAGATAGGATTTTCAAACCTGTTTCAAATCAAGTGTCTTCTCCACATTGCATTTTCAATAAGAATAAGATTTTACCATTCCTAAACTAATAAAAATGCAGTATACTGTATTTAAGAACTTGATATCTTTTATAATCAAACTGTTTAGTACTTGTCACATTTATAAAGAATCGAGTAATCAGAGGCCCTATGTTTTTCAGTCTGATAAATTATAGTAAGAAATTGTGCTAATAATGCCATTTCTTTAGGGATGATAGTGCTAGAAAATTGTCATTCAATGCAGATGACTGTCATTCATCATTAAGGACAGTTGTGAAGTGTAGGCATAAGGGATCTGGAAAATGGTCATGAAGGTATTCATCATTGTCAAAGTTAACCAGAATACTCTGTGGGCAATAGCTTGACCTGTATAATTTTAAAAGCAAATTCAAAGGCAGTTAAACTTTCTTTTGTCAAAGTAGTTAAATGAATTTTCAAAGCCCCCCACAGCAAAGAGTTTGGTTATTGGGAAGATCACAAGATACTGCTATTTGATTTATGAAAGAATTTGCATTAGAGAGCTCCATTTATAAAGTGTAAGACAGGAGTGTTGGGTATCCTTTGGTGGTACTGAGGCCTTGAGGACTCAGGTTTGTGTAGAAATCAAAATGTTATGTTTTATCTCCCAGAAAAGTTGGTGTATTGGAGCTGTGTCCCATTTTAAATAAGTAGAGAAAATGAATGAAACCAGTTCATGACTTTGGCTGATGACAATGTCAAGACTCAAGAAGCATCTGCTTGGTAAAACAGAATAGTATGTTACTGAAGCTAGAGCTTTGATACTTTCTGGTCTTATTTTACAGTGATTTACTATGCTACATCTGGCAGCTGGTAGGGTGCTGTGTTTTTAATTTGTGACTGAAACAGTGCTGATGACACACCAGTGTTTTGACTACTGCTGAACAGTGATTGCTGTGCCAAGGCTTTCTCTGTTTTGCACTCTGGCCCCCTGTGTACTGCATGTAGGCTGAGTAGGCTGAGGAATATACAAGAAGCTAGGAGGGGACACTATTTGTCCCCTCCTACAATCTTTACAATCACTGTTTCACACTATATAGTGTCAATATTGTGTCAACCTCAGCAATAAAAACTGAGGGGAGATTTTTTGGGATGGAGGTAGTCATTGCTTGGAGACTGCCTGAACGTCTACCTGTGGGAGGTACTTTACAATTGTCTTTGCTTTTTTTTAATATATTATATATATATATATATATATATATATATATAATTTTCTTCCTCTGCCCTTCACTTACGAAAATATCTTTATACTGACATGTGAATTTTCTTGCTTTGATGCTATGGGGCTATTGGAGAGAGTGAGTGAGCAGCCATGTGGTGCTTAGCTGCTGGCCAGAGTCAACCTCATCTCTCCTCTTATACCAAATAAACTCAGAATTATTTGACTATCTCTAAATGGAAATATTACTGGGAATTAGAAGTCCATTAATTTATTAGTAATGTATACATATAAATTAATAATAAAATTAACTTTAAAAATATAAAACATATTCAGTGTAACTTCTAGTAATGTTTCTTAGCAGAAATTTTACTCAATTTTAAAATTTTATTTGAAGGAAAAGCTTGGAATAAAACTTACATTTTCTTTTCATGAGAAAAGTTAAGATTTTCATTTTAAGTCATGGTATGCCTACGTATGCAGACATAACACATGTATATATTATAAAATAGACATGTATAATTAATTTCTATGTAGCTGGGACACAACTGATGATTACTGTTTTGTAGCTGTGGAAAAAAAGGATAGAATGAGTTTGCAATGACTGAATGATAAAATCATTTTAGCCAAATATCCTTCAGAAATGGAGAAGCCATTACCATAAACTACAGCAGGCAGTATGTGTTCAAATACAATCAGCAGATTTGAGAGCAAGTCCGTGGGGTCCATAGTTATAGTCCATGCCTAACCATGAATAAATAGCAAATTTTTCTAAGCATGTGCAGAAGTAGAAAGTAGGCTACAGAATGGATTCACTAAATTGGTAAGAGACTAACAAAGGAATGTTTAGATATTTAGATATCTTGCTGAAGAACCAAATGAGTCTTGTTGGATTTTATGTCTTAGACATGTTTGGGAGATACCGGCTTTGGTACAAAACTCTTCAAAAAGTTAAGTACAGTTGGAACTATACTCTAAAATCAGAGTTTAAATGAAAGTAAACTACTCGAAATTCAAAATAAATGATAATTTTTACATGCAATGATACATAATATTGGAAATTCATTGTCATGAAACATCATAGGGACTGACTGTGATAAAATAGCTCATGGATGTGCTATTAAAGCTTATTCATCTTTATACTCCTTGGTTAAGTTAGCTACTGAAAGTGTTGGAATGGAAGAAAGTTGATGCATAACTAGTTTTAGTAGTTGTTTGAACCTGAAGCATACATTTCAGTCTTCTGGTAACTTAGCAGTATAGATAATACTTTACTACAAATTCAGCACTAGAAACTAGGAAAGAAGTGCCAAAACAGCTCATCTAGAAGTGTTAGGTACATTGATTTCCTTCAGATCGTTTACTGCTGTGTTAACTATTTTTTTAGAGGAAATCTTATGATTCTGGCATATGTTGAAAATTTCTCCTCTTCCAGTTCTTTACTTTCTTATTTCTCAACCCCGAGTCTTGCTTCTTTTTTTTTTTGTCACACTTTCAAGAATGTCCAAAGCATAGAATATTAGTAGTCATGAAAAGATTTCTGATTTCACAGGTCAGATCATCTAACTTGTTTAAAGTTAATATACATTTTTATTTTCTCAGTAAAGACATAAATGTAGCTCCGTTTATCCTTCTGAAAATAAATGGTTAGGATTTTATGCTTCATGTGTTTCATTCTTCATCTGCTATTTCTGTCATCCAGAAATGTTCCCTATCAGTTGCTTTCCTTGTGGTTGATACCTGGTCTTTTTCTTAGATCTCGGGCTTTCTGTTAGAAAGGTTCGTTCGTTAAATGGCTATTAGCAAATGGAAAGATGGAACTCTTTTTCAGTAGAGAGAAGAATTCTCACAATGCCAAGAAGTTGATATGCTCCCTATTCTCCATTTTCTTTCCATCCCCATATTTGCCTTTACTGCTGGTAAATAAAAGAAATGAACCCTGCCTGCCTTGCTCATAGAGGCCTTTTTGCTTCTTTCATCCTTACTGATAAAAGTAATAAACTGCCTGCCAAAAGGGGCTCTCAATTAAAATATATGATTGCAGTTTTCTGCATGGATGAAAGCAGCTGAGAAAATAATCCCATCTGAAATTTCTGTTTTGAAATCATCATTTGCTCATGAATATATTCTGTTGATGGAATTGAGATAGTTCGATAGAAGGATAACCTTTGTGTGTTAGTAGTAGCTGCTTTCCTTCACTGTGTAATTCAGCATTTTCATTGGTTCCTAAAATGAAAAACACTTAGACTGAGAAATATGTTTGAAGAAATGTCATGCATATATACATATAGAACAAGATGTGAGGTTGTGGTTTGAAATTTACTGAGTATTTCTCATTTCTAACTAATTGAAAATAATGAAGAAAAGTGTTGTACCATCTCATCTTCTGATGGAAGAGATACTGCCTTTTCTATTCTATTTAGAGGAAGCATGATCATCTAGAGAGACATTTTTTGTGACAAGACAGGTGTGTTAATGTGATGGCGATGACTACATGTTGAATTTCTATATATCTCATCCTATCTTGTATCTCATCTTCCATGCTTAGGTATTTCTTGGAGTTGAAGGACAGAAGATTCAAATAGTTG